TTCCCTACATAAAATTTTAGCATACCGAGTACTCCAGTAGCAGTAAGGAGTTGTGCAGCTTCAACACACTGGTCATAAAGAGCTTTGTCTAATGACTTCCAGAGTGAAAACTAGGGTTATCAGATTAAACAGTCTCACTGCTATGTGAAGAAGTTTGGTTTTCTCACCTTTCCTTGCCATGTATTATTTTATAAGCCTCAACCACGTTATTCTCCTCAATCATGTTTTGTTGCCCTGCTCTAAGCCTTTTCCAGTTGAGATCAGGGCACAGTGTTTAAGACAGAAACAAATTGCAGTCTTACATAGTATCATAATGTTTTCTACATAGAAATTCTGAATGCCTGGCCATAACTTACAGAACCTTGAATTTATTTCCCACACAGATGTAAAAACTTCGTATGTGTATTCTGGATAAAGTCTTATGAATGTTTGTACATTTGTGTAATGGGTTATTTATTACTCATTTTTCAAGAAGAGCCATGCTTATTAACTTATCCTGTCACTTGATATTAAAGACTTATTATCAATAATAAAACCATCCTTTTCTAAATGTTGTTTAGAAAAGAGAGCGTGTTGCTCCAGAGGAGTAATCTGTTTTCTTTGTCCCCCAAGTTCTGTCTGGGAATTACGGTTGTCATGGAAAGAACCAAGAGCATCTGTTTCTTTTCTATCATCCCCAGGCAGTAGTCACTAGCATTACCATTTAGGACAAATTTTAGTTACTGGCTTAGAATGAAAGACTTTGACTGAGAAGTAAATAATTTCCTGAACTGGTTTTATAACAAATGAGCTGTTGGTCAGCTTTCCTTTAACAGTTGGCAGCCAGTAAAAATACCTTTAGCTCTAATGCTTTAGATTGCTGTATATTCTGTCCCAAAACTGGTGCCTTTCAAGTATGTGGCTAGACTTGCAGAAAATTTACAGTTAGCAGTCCGGTCCTGAGCAACAGTCTACAGACATTATAGTACTAAGCTCTAGAAATGCTGCCCTCTTGTTCCCAGAGAGCTGCTGCGCAGAATTTTCCAGTGCTGTAAATGCTGTGCTAGGATTAGAGGACAATGCTTGATGAAGCATTGGTAAATGCTGTGCTAGGATTAGAGGACAGTGCTTGATGAAGCATTTTTCTGAAGTTCCGTTGTGAAGCAAAATGTTTGGGATTTTTACTTCTAGTCTGGTTACACAAAAGGCATCAATTGAACATTATATCTAAAGGTAAATATGGTAAAAGCACAAGAGAACCTTTTCACCCCAAATCAAGTGCATTTACTTGGATTTTCTTTGCAAGAGGAACTCATAAATATCTGCCACTTGATGAAGCATTTTTCTGAAGTTCCGTTGTGAAGCAAAATGTTTGGGATTTTTACTTCTAGTCTGGTTACACAAAAGGCATCAATTGAACATTATATCTAAAGGTAAATATGGTAAAAGCACAAGAGAACCTTTTCACCCCAAATCAAGTGCATTTACTTGGATTTTCTTTGCAAGAGGAACTCATAAATATCTGCCAATTAGTAT